ACACAAAAAAAAGATAAAAGGTATCAAACCATGAAGAGACATGGAGAAAACTTCAGTGCATATTACTAAGTGAAAGAAGCCAAACTGAAAGGTTATATACTATACAATTCTAACTGCGTGACATTCTAGGAAAGGTGAAACTATGCAGACAGTAAAAAGATTAGTGGTTGCTAGGTTTAGCCGGGGAAGGAAGGATAAACTAGCAGTGCAGAAGTGAAACTATTCTTTATATTATAACAGTGGATACACATCATTATGTTTTTGTCAAAATCCATAGGATGTACAGCCCTAAGAGTGAACCCTAATGTAAACTATGAACTTTGGATGATGCTGATGTGTCAATGTATGTTCATCATTTGCAACCAATGTACCACTGTGGTGCAGGATATTGACAGTGGGGAACTTTGTATATGTTTGGAGACAAGGGATATACAGGAAATCTCTGTACTTAATTTTCCCAAAGCTGTTCTAAAGAACAAAGTTTATTAATTGAAAAAAAAAAAGTTTTAAATGGTGGAAGGATTATGTACTTGCCATTGCACATTTGAATAATGCCAAGGAAACTACACTCTATGTTACAACATTCCTGATTTTTGTCCTTTTTAAACATATTGTTCTATGCTACTATCAACAATTTTCAGTCAGCATAATAGGTAGAAAATAGGTGAAAAGTCCCTTGACGTTTATATATTACTCTGTACAACATTTGTTTTTTATAATACACAATTCTGTTATTTCAAAACTGAGTGACACTACTGCTTCCAACAAGGATGGAGTAGTAAGGACCAGATTTACCCTCTTGACTGAAAGGAAAGCAGACTAAATATATGAAGCAATAGTTTTCAAGACAATGGACCTCAGTCAACAAAGGCCTGTGACGCCCCAAAGTTGGCTAACAGATAGGCGGGTCCTATGAATTCCCAACTACCTGCCTTGTGAGAGAATCAACCACAGAGCAGGAGGGGAAATCCAAGGAGTGATGAGCAGATTCCCTGAGCAAAGAAGTCGTCCAGAATCGAGAGAGAGCAACACGGCTAGAATTTGTAGGACACAGTAGTGGAAAGAATAACACTGTGCAGAAAACTGCAGATTCCAGAGGTCTGCAGGTCTTCTTCCATTATTTAGTGGAGCACCAAGCATCTCCAGAGTGTGAGGAAACTATCTAAATATGGGGGGAGGGGAATCATTTGGAAGGGAGAGTCCTCAATGCTCACAAAGGCCAGAAACTGTATCTGTTTAAACCAGCCAGATTGGAAAACCTCATGATGCACAGGACATCAGGTACACCAAACAAAAAGGTCTTGCCTCAGAATCAGGGGAATAACCTTAGACTGAGCACTGCTCCGGTCCTAACTAAATACCTTTAAAAGATCAGAAAGAGTCAGAGAAAGACAAATACCACATGATTTCACTCATATGTGGAATTTATTAAACAAAACAGATGAACATAGGGAAAGAGAAGGAAAATAGGATGAAATTTGAGAAGGTGGCAAACCATACATAAGAGACGCTTAACTCTAGAAAGCAAACTGAGGGTTGCTGGAAGGGAGATGGGATGGGGCAACTGGGTGATGGGCATTAAGAAGGGCACTTCAAGTAATGAGCACTGGGTGTTATACACAACTGATGAATCCTAAATTCTATGTTTGCAACTAAAAAAATTAAAAAGATCTGAAAGAAGCAAACTATTTTCAAATAACTGCCACTGAGAACACAGCTCCTGAAAGCTTAAATGAATAAAAAAAATCAAAGAGCTAAGGTAAAATTCAGAGTGTTTGGAGCCACCAAAATTTGCCAAGCATGCAAAAAAGCAAAAAGATACAACTCATAATCAAGAAATGCATCAATCAGTCAAAACCAATTCAGAACTGACACAAATGTTAGAAATAGCACACAGGACTTTAAAACAGATAAAAACTATATTCTATATGTTAAAAAGTTAACTGGAAACTTCGGATGGAAGTTTGGAAGCACTTGGATGGAAGATACAACAAAGACCCAAATCAAACTTCTAGGGATGAATACTACAACGTGTGAGATGAAAAATATGATAGATAAGATTAATGGTAGATTAGACACTGCAGAATAAAAGATCAGTAAACTTCAACACATAACAACAGAAACAATAAAAAATGTAATACAGAGGAAAAAAATACAAAAAAGAAAAACAGCATCAGTGAGCTGTGGGACAATTTTAAGCAGCTTAATATACATGTCATTTCAGGCCCTGAAGCAGAGAGGGGGACCGGAAAAATATTTAAAGAAATATAGCTAAAAATTTTCCAAATTTGATGAAAACTACAAACTCACAGATCCAAAAAGCTTAATGAACTGTAAGCACAGAAACATAAAGAAAAATAAACCATGGCACATCATAGTCAAAAAGCTCAAAACCAGTGATAATAAAAGAAAATCTAAAAAGTAACCAGAGAAAGATATGTTATGTAATGTAAAGAAGAACCAAATAAAGAATTCCAGTAGAACAAAATGCAAATGACAGTAGAGGACTATCCTTCAAGTATTAAAAGAAAAAACTATCAACCTAGAACCCTACATCTGGTGAATATTTCTTTCAAAAACAAAGGCAAAATAAATACTTTCTGGACTACAAAAGCTGAAAGAATTCATCACCCACAGATTTGTACTCTAAGAAACATTTAAGGAAGTTATCCATTGCAGAAACAATGGTACTAGATAGAACTACGGATTCTTACATGAGGGAATAAAGAGTACCAAATATGGTGAGTACATAAGTAAGAAAATATGTAAGTTTTTTCCTATTACTTAAATCTCCCTAAAAACAACTGATGGTTTAAACAAAAATAAAGGCAATGTGGTTTGGAGTTTATAACACATAGAAGTAAATGTACAATACCACCACCACAGGGATGCCTCGGTGGCCCAATCAGTCAAGCATCTGCCTTTGATTAAGGTTATAATCTGAAGGTCCTGGCATAGAGCCCCACATCAGGCTCCTTGCTCAGCAGGGAGCCTGCTTCTCCCTCTGCCTGCAGTTCCCCAGCTTGTGCGCTCTCTCGCTCGCTCTCTCTCTTTCCATCTGACAAATAAATAAAATCTTAAAAAAAAAAAAAAAAACAATAAAACAAACCACTACCATCACCACCACAAAACTTGGGAGGAGACAACTAGAAGTATAGTTTAAAAAAATTTTTTACAGGCGCCTGGGTGGCTCAGTGGGTTGGGCCTCTGCCTTCAGCTCGGGTCATGATCTCAGGGTCTTAGGATCGAGTCCTGCATCGGGCCCTCTGCTCGGCGGGGAGCCTGCTTCCTCCTCTATCTCTGCCTGCCTCTCTGCCTACTTGTGATCTCTGTCTGTCAAATAAATAAATACAATTTAAAAAAAATAAAAATAAAATAAAATTTTTTTACTACGCAAAAAATAGCATAACACTTGACAGTGAAGTGTGATATATTAAAGAGTTATATTATACACCTTAAAGCAACCACTAAAACAAAACAAAGTTGTATCACTATAAGCCAACAGAGAGAAGACAGAATGGAATAATACAAATAATACAAAGGATAAGAGTATAAAGAGAAAACCAACAGCAGAACATAAATGGTTTTGATAACCCAATTAAAAAGCAAAGACCGCAAGACTGGATTTAAAAAACAACAACAACAACAACAAAAACAAAACACTACCGACTATACAATGCAATGCATAAGAGAACGAGCTACAGATCTGGGGCTACTATTCTTTGAGAGGCCTGCTTTCAAGTTTGGCCTTTGACTAACATCTGGGAATTTGGATTTAGGGAGGGTTCTTGCCATTCATTCCCTAACACAGAGTAGCTCATTACGCCTAAACTGTTTGTATAAACAAGGTGGTTTATGCTAAACACCTGTTTTCCTTCTGTGAGTGTGGGATCTTGACAAGAGCAAGGCTGAGGGTATCCACATGAGCAGGTTCCAACAAAAACTTGGGACACTGTGTCTCTACAAAGCTGCTCTGCCAGCCAAGATCTGACAAGTATTGTCACATTCAGTGGTAGAAGAATTAAGCACATTCTGTGTGCCCACTAGGAAATGACTCTTAGAAGTTTGTACCTGGCTTCCTCCACAGTTTACCCCATGCACCTTTTCCCCTTGCTGTTTCTTCCTTTCTTTTTTTTTTTTTTTTGGTATCTTTTTTGTTCTAATAAACCAAAGCTCTAAGTACAATTATAACCCGAGTCTCTTGACTTCTCCTACCAACCTCTGAACCTGGTATAATCTTAGTGACCTCTAGTATAACTACACACTAGAAATGTACTTTCAATATAAAAACACAAATGTGTTAAAAGTTAAAAAGATGAAGATATACCATGTTAACATTAAACCAAAACAAAGTTAAAATGTCTGTATTAATATCAAAGTAGGTTTCAGAGTAAAGAACATTACTACGGATAAAGAGTAATTTCATAATGACAATGAGGTTAATGCATGAAGAGGACTTGAAACACCTAAGCATTTATGCACCTACTCACAGGGTTTCAAAATACATCAAGTAAAAAGTGACAGAACTGAAAGGAAAAGGCAAATACAAAACACAGTAAGAGAATTTAATACCTGTCTCAGTAATTGACAGACCAAGTAGAAAATAATTAAGTAGATAGAAAATCTGAACGAAACTATCAAGCAAATTGATGTAATGAACATGTATCGAATGCTCCATCCAACAACAGCAAAATACACATTGTTTTGAAGAATATACAAACATTTTATAATAAATTTATTCTGGGTCATGTAACAAGTCTCTAATTTCAAAAGGTTCAAGTTTTACATAGCACATTCTCTGACTAAAACGGGATTAAACTAGACATTAAGTAATAGAAATATCTCTGGAAAACCCCAAATTATCTGGAAACTAACACATTTCTAAATAACCCAAGGATCAAAGAAGAAATCAAGAGGAAAAGGAAAAAGTACCCTGCACTGCATGAAAATGAAAACACAGTATGTCAAAATCTGTACACCACCACTAAAGCAGTACTTAGAGGGTAATTCATAGCATAAATCTCCATATTATAAAGTTACAAAGGACTCAAAACAATGACCTCAGCTTCTACCAAAAGTAGAAAAAGAGGAATAAAGGAGGAGAAACTACTATTATATTAGTCCTCCACCAGACTCATCACAAGAGATGACACAAATTACCATATATCATGCACCATATACCAATATCAGAGAAAGATTACACCACCACATTCTAACACAAGAATAGAGAATATAAACAACTTTTTGCCAATAAATTCAACAACCTAGATGACAGAGACAAATTCCATGAAAGATAAACTTCCAGAGCTCACTAAAAGAAAAACAGGTAACTCAAAAAGCCTTACATTATTAAAGACACTGAATCTTTAAAAACCTTTCCACAAAAAAATACTCCAGGCCCAGTTGGCTTCACTGGTAAATTCTACCAAATGCTTAGGGAAGATATAATACTAATTCTAGACATATTTTTTCCATATGATTAAAAAGGAGGGAATACTTTCCAACTCCTTCTATGAAATTAGTATTATCCTGATAACAAAACTAGATAATAAAGACATTGCAAGAAAACTACTCTATCCCTCCTGAACATAAACAAAGAAAAAAGTTTACACAAAATTTTAGCATATCAAATCTAATAACATACAAAAGGGTAATATACCATGACCAAGTGGCATGACTGGTTTCACATTTTTTTTAAAGATTTTATTTATTTATTTGACAGGGAGAGAGATCACAAGCAGGAAGAGCAGCAGGTGGGGGGCGGGGGGAAGCAGGCTCCCTGCTGAGCAGAGAGCCCAATGAGGGGCTGGATCCCAGGACCCTGAGTCCATGACCTAAGCCTACAGCAGAGGCTTCATCCACTGAGCCACCCAGGTGCTCCTGGTTTCACATTTAAAAATCAATGTAACTGAATATACTAACAAAGTTTTTTTTAAAAAGGATGATTTCAATAGGTGCAGAAAAAAATTCATTTGGCAAGATCCAAAATCCATTCCCGGAGTGGGACAAAAGAACAGAGGGGAACTTAATCAGACAAAAATCTATAGATAACATCATACTTACTGGTAAAACAGTGAATGCTTTCTCCCTAAGATCTGGAACAAAACAAAAATGTCCATTCTCACCACTCATATTCAACACTGTACTTGAGGTTCTAGCCAGGGCAATTTGGGTAACTATAAGATGGGAAAGAAAGAAATTGTACTACCTGTATTTGACGGTAACATGCTCATGTCTATAAAAAATCGTAGGGAAGGGGCACCTGGGTGGTTCAGTGGATTGAAGCTTCTGCCTTCAGCTCAGGTCATGATCCCAGGGTCCTGGGATCAAGCCCCGCATCAGGCTCTGGGCTCAGCGAGGAGCCTGCTTCCCCCTCTCTCTATGCCTGCCTCTCTGCCTACTTGTGATCTCTGTCAAATAAATAAATAAATAAATAAATAAAATCTTTAAAAAAAAATCCTAGGGAAGTTACCAATAAATAAATAAAAGCCTATCAGAAATAATAAGCAAGTTTAATAAGGTTGCAGGGTACAAGGTCAATATACAAAAATCAACTGCAAAACACAGTATCACTTCATAACCACTACGAAGGCTGTAACCAAAAAGACAACAACACATTTTGGCAAAGATGTGAAGAAACTGGAAACCTCACACATTGCTAGTGGGAATGTAAAAACGGCGCAGCTGCGATGGAAAGTAATCTGGCAGTTAACCTTTTGACCCAGCAATTCCACTCCATATTTACCTAAGCAAAGGGAAAACATACATTTACACGAAGAAAAGCACAAGAATATTCACAGCAACATTATTTATAATAGCAAAAAAAAAAAAAAAAAAAAAAAGAAAGAAAAGGCAACAACCCAAATATTCATGAGTGGATAAATGGATAAATAAAACACAGCATATCCATTCGATGGAGTATTAATTGACCATTAAAAAATGCAGTCCTGGGCACCTGGGTGGCTCAGTAGGTTCAGCACCTGCCTTCAGCTGGGGTCATGATCCTGGAGTCCTGGGATCAAGCCCCACATGGGGTTCCCTGCTGAGCAGGGCATCTGCTTCTCCCTCTCCTTCCGCTCCTCCCCCCACCACCCCATGCTTGTGCTCGCTCTCAAATAAATAAAATCTTAAAAAAAAAATGCAGTCCTGATACATACTATAATGTGGAACACTGAAAACATTATACCAAGTCAAAGAAGCCATACATAAAAGACTATAAAGTATATGATTCTATTTATATGAAATGTCCAGAAGAGGCAAACTCATACACATAGAAAGTAAATACATAGTTGCTAGGGTAGGAGGGAGCAAAAGTGGGAGTAACTGCTAATAGATACATAGTTTCTTTTGGGGGTGATGGAAATGTTCTGGAAACAGATAACAGTGATAGTTACACAACACTGTCAATGTATTAAACCCCTGACTTGTATACTGTAAAATGATTAAAACAGTGAATTCTGTTATTTGAATTTTATGTTAATTAAAAAAAACTACTAAAATAATTCTGTGTATTTTGTATTCATAAAAGCATCAAAAATACTTAGGAATACACAGTATGTTAACTAGAACTTAAATTTTAAAAATAAAGAGGTAGGACACCTGAGTGGCTCAGTCTGTTAAGTGTCTACCTTTGGCTCAAGTCATTATCCCAGTGGGGGCGGGGGGGGGGGGGGAAGACCCAGGGATCAAGCTCTCCCCCCTCCCCCACCTCCCTGCTCAGCAGGGAAGTCTGCTTCTCCCTCTCCTTCTGCCCCTCTCCCTGCTTGTGAGTGTTGGCACACTCTCTTTCTAACAAATAAATAAAATCTTAAAAAAAGGAAACAGGTAAAAAAAAAATACTTAGGAATAAACTCATGAAAATAAGTATAAGACCTGCACATTAGAAACTATAACAAGGGACGCCTGGGTGGCTCAGTTGGTTGGACAACTGCCTTCGGCCCAGGTCATGATCCCGGAGTCCCAGGATCGAGTCCCGCGTCAGGCTCCCAGCTCCACGGGGAGTCTGCTTCTCTCTCTGCCCTTCTCCTCACTCATGTTCTCTCTCACTGTCTCTCTCTCAAATAAATAAATAAAATCTTTAAAAAAAAAAAAAACTATAACAAAATGATGAGAGAAATTAAACAAAATATAAATAAATGAAGAGAGATACCATGTTCTGGATTAGAAGGCTCAATATTGTCAGAATAACAACTCAACACAATCCTTACCAAAATCCCAGTAGGTTTTTTTGTGGAAATTGAAAAGGCAGTCCTAAAATTTATGTGAAAATGCAAAGGACCCAGAAATGCCAAAATAATTTTGAAAAATAATAAAGCTAGAAAACATACACTACCTAATTTCAACACAAAAACCTATAGTAATAAAAACAGGATACTTGGAACAGAAGAGACAATCCAGAAATAAACCCATGCAACTGCAGTCTGTTGATTTTTGACAAAAGCACCAAGTTAATTCAATAAGGAAAGGAGAGTCTTAATAAATGGTCCTCCCCCACATCTATATCCATAGATGGGGGGGGGGGAGGCAAAGAACGTACACCCTTACCTCACACTGTATATAAAAATTAACTCAAAATGAATAACAGACCTTAATGTAAGACATACAATGTTTACAACTTCCGGATAAAAACATAAGAGAAAATCTTTTTGGTGTTGGATTCAGCAAATATTTCTTGGGTAGGTCAACGAAAGCATGATGATTAAAGAAAAATGACTAACTGGACTCAATCAAAACTAAAAATCTTCTCTCTTCAAAAGACACCATTAAAAAGATGAAAATACAAGCCACGTGCTGGAAGAAAATATGTTCCAATCACTTATCTGATCAAAAGATTTGAGTCCAGAATGTAGAAAAAGCATGACTCCATAAGAATACGGGCAATGAAACTGTAAAGTGGGTAAAATATTTTAAAAGACATACAAAGGGCTAATATGTACATGATTAGAGACTCAACATTGTTAGTTACAGAAAAATAAGTTGAAACAATGATATACCACTATAGATCCTCTAGAACAGCTATAATTAAAAAGGCCAACAATCTAAATGTTGATGAGAATGTGAAGAAACTAAAAGAACTCTCATAACACACTGGTGGGAAAAAAAATTAAGAGTCACCACTTTGGAAAACAGTTTGGCAATTTCTTCAAAAGATAAATATACACTAACCATATGACCCACCAATTCTACTTCTAGGTATCTACCCAAGACAAACTTTAAAACTTATCTGCACAAAGAACTTTCTACAAAAGAATGTTCACAGCAGCACTATATATAATTGCCCCAAAATTAGAACCCAGATTTCCACTGAAGATCATAAAAGGTGGTATATTCATACAATTCAGCATTAAAAAGGAACAAAGTGCTGATCCATACAACAACATGGATGACCCTTAACAACATTACACAACTGAAAAGAAAACAGGTAAGAAAGATGAGATAGGATATGAGTTGATTTATATGAAATTTCCAGCAAAGACAGAACTATGGGCAAAAGCAGGTCCATGGATGCCTGGAGGTGGGACTGCAAAGGGACATACAGGAATTTTGGGGGCGGAGGTCATAAAACTGGATTGTGGTAACAGTTTCACAGCTGTATGTATTTACTACAACCTATCAAACAGTACAATTATAATGGATGAATTTATAAGGTATCAATATATTGATAGAGTTAAGAAAAAGTGAACAATATACTCACCATTGTAGCCTTCAAGAACAGAATCAATAATAGGTCTTGCAGTTAAGTTATAAACATCAAGTTGTTTACTCTCTGGTCCAAAAACAGTATCAAAAGTAAATGTCTTTGGAGGTTCATTGGAAGAATCAGTCTTATGTACAGTAATAGTTCCCCTCATCTCATCCACACTGACAGCCTGTTTATAGCACATTGATTTCTCTCTCTCGTTGAGGGGCCGGCACCTAACAACCACCTTCACATTATCACAGCTTTCAGGCTTCTCAGATTTATTGATCTGGTGGAGAAAATATTCACATATAATGAAAAGAACATTTACTTTTACCTTTAGCAAATTTCAAATTTGAAAAAGGCTACTGTGCCATCCCAGGGTCTTGCACATATTAAGCACTCCACAAATATTTGTTAAATGCAATTAAAAATCTCACAGATATACAGAAAAAGCTTATTAAAAGATATAAAAAGACAGTTTCTTTTACAATATGATACAATATACATATGAGGAGAAAGAAAGCCTAATTTACATTTATAGTAAATAAGTGCTATTTAAGCAGAAAATGAATCACTATATTGACTGTCTCCACAAAAATCCCTGACTTAGCCTCTGAGTTTACTGCCTGAAGGAAAACACAAGTGAACATGGTTAACAACTTTAATCAAGAATATAGTAGTAGGTCCTGTGTTCCCGAGACTTTAAATTTTATTTTCTATAATGCATCAGTAAAACGTTTTTTTTACCATGTAACATATGTAGTCTATCTTCTCTATAGAAGACATGAAATGAAACACAGCAAACAAAGTCCAATGGCAGAGAGAAATGTTTCAGTATCCCTCTAACCTTACAAATATTTATATATGTAAAGTTTCATTTTTTGAAATTTTATGATTAACCACCTATGTTAAAATAAAACCCTAAGCAAAGACACATACAGTATGATTTCACTTACATGTGGAATCTAAAAAACAAAACAGAGGAACAAACAAAAAAACAAAACTCACAGAGAATAGATTGGTGGTTGCCAGAGGGCAGTGGGGTACAGACGTGGACAAAATGGTCAAAGAGATCAAAGGTACAAATTTCCAATTATAAAATAAGTCATGTATAAATAATATATAGAATGGTGACTAGTCAAAAGTACACCACTGCATATCTGAAAGTTGCTAAAGGAGTGTATCTTGAAATTGTTCAACATCAGAAAAGAATTTTATAGCTGTTTATGGTGATAGGTGGTCACAAGACTTACTGTGGGGATTACCTCACAAGGCACACAAATAACAAATGATATTGTACAGGTAACATTGTGTTATATGTCAATTATACCTCAACTAAAGTAATACAATCCTATTTTGAAGTGAAGTCCAATAGTTTATTTGAATAGTATCAATACAACACACTTCTCCCCATCTCTATTTTCACCACCTAAGGCTGGGTCACCATGATCCCACCCTAAATTGCGTAACAGCATCTAGTTAGGTTCTCCTATGGTCTGTTCTCTACAGGGCAGTCAGCTGCAACACAAAGTTAATCACGTTGCTCCCTTACTTAAAACTCAATGGTTTCCCACAAATCTCAGGATAAATACCACAGTCCTTAAGGTGGTCTCTAAGACCTGGCCCTGGCCCATGTCTACTTGTCCAGCCTTATTTCACAAGCTACCTTGCTTGGCTTTCCCAGCCACAGCCACATTAGCTTTTTTTAAGCCTTTTCTTGTCACCATACTTTCTTATCACAGGTGCTGTTCCTCCTGCCTAGAACATTCCTCATTCTCCCCTTCACTTATTCTCAGATCTCAGCAGAACAGCCACTTCACCTGTGAAGACTTCCTTAACTAGGTCAAATCCTGGTAAAGGTCCTGAGAGCACCCTTCTCCCTCCATCATCTACAACTGGTTTCAATACTACTTTTGCTTGCTCCTTATTTGATTAATGTGTCCTATCTGTCTACACCAGAGGTTGCCAACTAGTAGTCAAGGGGCTGAATTGAGCCCACAATATCTTTTGTTTGGTTCACAGCATTTAACAATATTTTTTAATTAGTTGCTAAAATTTTTTAAAAAGAGAAATTCCACAAAAGTAACAACTTCTAGATTCTCTTGGGGGAAAAAAAAAAAAAAAAAAAGATGATCTGACATCTGTAGGCCAGCATTCCTAAACGGGAACACTTTACAATTCACCAGAATCTACTTTCTATTACATGCCACCCATTCACTTCATGAATGGTAAGCATCTTGTCTCTACCAAGACTTTCACCTCTGCCCACGAAGGCAAGCTTCTGTCTTGTCAAGTTCAAGAAACTGGATGGTTATGCTCAATATTTTGCCTGCAGACCCTAACCTGGGGTATATGCCTGGTATCTGCTGAATGAACTAATAACCTGAAAGCAAACAATACGGAACAAATATTGAGCATTTAAGGCTAAATGTCAAGCACTGTCCTTCAATTCCGCTGTGCATTACCTTATTTCATCCTGATAAAATCCCATGAGAAACAGTTTAATTATGTGGGAACTAAGGACCCAGAAAGATGAAGTAATTGTCCCAGGCCTCGCAACCAGTAGAAAACCGACCAAAAAGCTCACGTGTTCTCCATGACCCTATACTGGACTTAGGACGCCCCCTGTTAAGTGGACGGTAGCACTGTGAAATCCGACAAGACAAACATACCACCACCCAGCCACCCTCACACACAAAGACACCCACGGGTTACATTCCGCCCTGTAAGCTAAAGCACCACGAAAGAAATGACAGCTCGAGTCAAAGGCTGGAGTAAAAGCAAGCAGCTCTCGGTTCGCTACCTTCCAAGAATCGGCTCCGCTGTGTACAGAGCCCATCAGGTGCGGAGCATCCAAAGCCCACCCCCCGCGGCCGCTCCCAGACTCCCTACTCAGGAGCAGGGCTGGGAGCGAGAGCGCATCCTCTGGCGCTGTGCCTTTATGTCAAGCAGCGCAGGCCCTGCGGGCTGCAGCACGGACCGAGGCGGCAGGGCCTGTCCGGGGCCCCTCCCAGGACCCGCTGGAACCCCGCCGGCCCCGAGCCCACCCACCAGACTCTCCAAACGCTCGGCCCCGCCGAGCCGGACCCTGCCCCGCCCCACCCCGGCCGCCTGCCTGATCCGCGCCTCCATGGCAACAGCCGCGCCCCCGTGCCAGGCCGCTGGGATGAGGAACCCCAGCGGCTGAGTGACTCCCCTCACCGGCATCGTGGCTCCCTCCTGTGCCCAGCGGAGGTCGCCGCCCTGGGCGCAGTCCAACGGCGCCGGGTTCGCCGGAGAGGTTTGCCGGAGACTACCGAAACACCGCCTTGGCGCTCTCGAGACTGCGGCTCCTCGGGCGAGAGCAGGCAGTGCGCAAGCGCACTCCGGGCTCGCCCCGCCCCATCCCCGGGCCACACGCTTCCTCGGCCTCTTGAATTACGCCTGCGCTGAGGCTTTCCGAGTCGGTCTCCTAGGACGCCAGACTGAAGCCGCGCCTGCGCAATGGTGCCGGTCAGCTGAGCTTGGAAATCTAGCCTGCATTGGGGCGGGAATACCTGGCTGCCACTGGTCGCGAGAAGCGCGGGGGGTGGGGGGTCCTCCTAGGTCCCACTGCTAGTCTCCTGGCTCATGCAGTACTCCAGATGTTGAAAACAACCATAGCAAAAAAAGTTAAAAAATAAAAGCAATTGTACACTATGTCCATCTAGAGAGCTAGAGGCTTCACACACATTAATGCGCTTGATTGCTGACTTGTTTATAAAACGCGTATCTCTATTACAGATGAAGTGAGGAGGAGCTTTGTCTGTATTCTCACAAGTATCTCCAGAGCCTAGAATAGGACTTAGAATAGGACCTAGCACAGGACAGATTTTCAATAAGTATTTGTGAAAGAACCAATAATCTATCCTCTTTCCTGTCCAAATCTCTGCTCTGCTGCGCTTGGATGTACAATAGACATTTCCAGATTATTATGACCAAAACTGAAGGGTTGATTCCCCCCCCCCCCCCCCCACCCCATATTTCCCCCCTATACTACTGTCCATCCCTGCCCCACCTCCCCCATGTAAAAAAAAAAAAAAAAAGCGCCCTCTCATACTTCCCTCAGCATAATAAATGAAGCTAAGTTCTGACAATTGTTCAGATCAAAGCACTCTTTCTCTCATACCCAATGTCCAACCTTTCAGTAGACCTTCTTTCTATCTTTAAAGTAGAACCAGAATCTGACCACTTCTCACTACCACCACCACCTCGCATCTATATTACAGTAGCTCAAAGCTGGTTTCCTCTGTATATCCTTGCCCCTTTTAGTATGTTTTCAACATAGGAGCCAGAGTGATGGTGTTAAAACATGAATCAGATAGTGGTTTTTTTTTTTTCTGTATTCAGAACCTGCCAATGATTATCTATCTCACAGACTAAAAGTCACAGGCCCTGTCCCCATTTCCTACAATCTTCCCTCTTGCTCATTAGTCTGCACCAGCTCGACTTGGTCTCCTTGATTCAACAGACATTTTGGGCATGGTTCCATCTTAGAAGGCAAGGGCTTTTGCACTTGCAGTAGGAGCTAATAAAAACAACTATAGAGCATTTGACTTGGTGCCAATGTACTAAGTGCTTTACTTTCCTTTTTATTATTAATTTAATCCATATAATAACCTTCTGAAATAGGTATAGTAGTCATTTTACTACAAAATAGGAACAACTATTTTACAGATAAAGAAACTCAGGCACAGAGCCATTACTTGTCCAAGGTCAGATATATGGGCAGTGACAAAGCCCAGACCCAACCTAGATTCTGGAAATCTTTCTCCCTAGATATCCACCTGACTCCCTCACCCCCTTCAGAATGTCTTTGATTACACATCACCTTCTCAATGAGCCCTGCCATGATCTCTCTACTTAAAATTTCAACTTTTAGCTCCAGTCTTCTTAGCTCTTCTCCATATTTCATATTTCTCCTTGGTACTTATCACCATCTGATATGCTGTGTATATGATATATACATTATGTGTATACATATACAGTGCCTTATTGAGATATCATCAGACATACAATTCACCAATTTAAATTGTAAACTTAAATGATTTTTATTATATACACAGACCATAACCACAATCAATTTGAAACATTTTCATCACCCTAAAAAGAAACTATACTCATAGCAGTCACTCCCACTCACCCTCCACCCCCTCTTCATCAACATCCCAGCCCTAGGTAACTTCTGTCTCTCTTGCCTATTTGGGACATTTCATATAAGTTGAATTAGTGCTCTCTTTGGCAGCACATATACTAAATTGAATTAGGTAATATGTGGCCTTTTAAAAATGATTTCTATCACTTAGAGTAATGCTTTCAAGCTCAACGCTATTGTGGCATATATGAATAATTCTTAACTTTTAATAGCTGAGTAATATTCCATTGTGTGGATATACCACATTCTTATACATTTGTCAGTTGGCAGATATTTCAGTTGTTTCTATTTTTTGGCCACTATGAACACTGCTGCTATAAGTTTTTGTGCCCATTTTATTTGCCTTTTCATTATTAAGTTGCAAGAGTTCTTTCTAAATCCTAAATACAAGTCTCTTTTCAGATATATAATGTGCATAAATTTTTCTCCCATTCTGTGGGTTATCTTTTTAATTTCTGGAGTGTGTTCTTTGAAGCTCAAAAGTTTTAAATTTAGATAAAATCCAATTTATGTATTCTTTTTTTTCGTTTCTTTCCTTGTACTTTTGGTATATATCTAATAAACCATTTCCAAACCCAGTCATAAAGACTTATTTCTGTAAGAATTTTGTAGTTTTGGGGCGCCTGGGTGGCTCAGTGGGTTAAAGCCTCTGCCTTCGGCTCAGGGCATGATCTCAGGGTCCTGGGATCGAGCCCCGCATCGGGATCTCTGCTCAGCAGGGATCCTGCTTCCTGCTCTCTCTCTCTCTGCCTGCTTCTCTGCCTACTTGTGATCTCTGTCAAATAAATAAATAAAATCTTTTAAAAAAAAAAGAATTTTGTAGTTTTAGCTTTTATATTTGGCTCTATGATATATTTTTGAATTATTTTTGTATATTGTATGATAGAGGGATTCAGCCTCATTCTTCTGTTTATGAATATCCTGCTGTCCCATCACATTTGCTGAAAAGTCTTTTCTTCCCTCCACTGAACTACTGTGGCACCCTTGTCAAAAATCACTTGATCATGAGTGTGACTGTTGAGTCACATTGAGATTCCTAGAATCTCAATTCAGTTCCATTGGTCTAAATGACTATACCATCTCAATTGCAATAGGTTTGCAGTAAGTTTTGAAGTCATATAGTTTGAGGCCTCCATCTTTGCTCTGCTTTTTCAAGACTGTTGTGGCTAGTCTGACACCCTTGCATTTCCACAGAAGTTTTAGAAGGACCTTGTAAATTTCCACAAAAAGTCAGCTGGAAACTTAATAGATTATGTTGAACCTACAGCTCAATTTGGAAAGTACTGCCACTTTAACAATGTAAGTCTTTTAACCTATGGACATGGAATGTCTTTCCATCTCTTTAGGTCTCCTTTAATTTCTTTCAGTGACGTTTTGTAGGTTTCAGTGTATAAATGTTGTGATTTTTGGCTATATTCTTAAATATTTTATTCTTTTTTATGATACTGAATGGAATTATTTTCTTTTTTTAAAGATTTTTTTATTTACTTGACAGACAGAGATCACAAGTAGGCAGAGAGAGACAGAGGAGGAAGCAGGCTCTCCATCAAGCAGAGAGCCTGACTTGGGGATTGATCCCAGGACCCTGAGAT